CATAACTACGGGCGAAAAGGTCTCATCTTTAAACTGAAATCGAAATACAAGCATGTAATAAACATTTGCAGAAAATAGATTATTGAAAAAAAAACCTATATATATATATAATATTTTTTTAACATCCATTTTAGAAACAATTAATAATGATTTTAATAAATATTTTATATTAGTATATTGTTATTGGCCATCATCCATATGGCAATTTATTAATTATCATTGGCCATTTAATAAATAAGTTGCAAAATATTTATATTATCATATCTGTAATATAAAAAAACGAGTAAACATATTATTACAATTAAAAAAAGGATAAATTTTATGTTTATAAGCTTACAATTATATTTTAAATTTATTTGATATCTTTATGATTTTATATTAAAAAAATAATAAAATAAAATATTACATAAAATGAAATGTAGATACATCATCAGTATGCGTGGAAGATTTTTATAATCTAATTGGTTTTTTTCAATCTTAAACTAATAACTAAAAACTAAACAAATAAAACTAAAAGAAAAAACATTTATTATTATAAAAATAACTGAAAAGTAATATAGTATTCCCCAAAAAAACGCTAGTATTCCCACTACTCCACTAATGTTCCACTAACCCACTAATGCGGACAATTAGAATTAGACTAAATGACATTGATAACAGCATGTTCAGTATCAACATTCGCCTATATTTGATGGGGTTGATGGCATTGAAGAAGGGTGCCCAACTTTTAAAATATGGTATGAAATGAAAACCGATATTGTTCTATTCCTTTAAACTTTTCAAATATACATTGTCAAAATCTTATCCAATTATGGTGGGGATTGAGATTGATAATGAGATTCTCTTCTCTCTATTTGGTCTGGTTTCCGTGCAGAAGAAGAAAGGCGAAGGAGATCATGCACCACAAGAAATGTTCCATTTTGCGACAGAAATGGAAGTTGCAACATGAAGAGAATTCTGTCGCAAACAAAAATTTGCGATCGATTACGACCGAATCATTTCTGTCGCCAAATCGTTATCGCAAGAAAAATGTGGTCGTAATTCTGTCGCACATTTGCGACTAAAAATTCTGTAGGTCGTCGGTCGCAAATTTGCGACAGAAGTTCTGCGTCGGAAATGCGTCGTTAATCGGTGTATGTGGTCTGTCGCAGATTTGCGACAGATATAACTGTAGGTATCGGTCGCATAGACCGACCAATAAGGGTTGTCGGAAATGTGTCGCTCAACGACAGACATATCTGTCGCAATTTTTTTGTCGCTAACTAGCGACAAACGCAGCGGTCGGTAATCTGTCGCTATGTAATTGTCGTGATGTTGCGGCACATTTTTTCTGTCGCTATTTAGCGACCGAAATATCGGTCGCTCTCCGTCGCAATCTGAAAAATATTTATATTTTATAAATTTTATTTATAAATAATAATTATTTTAATTAAATAAAATAAAACATTTATTTAAAAAAATATAAAATAAAAATATTTATTTAAAATTAAAAAGTATTTAATACATAAAATAAAAGTATTTATATAAAACAAATTAAACAAAATAGTTATTCGAATTATCTGATCCGGTTCTTTGGTCTGTCGGTGCCGTAGAAGGTCCGACTCCGGGCTCAGATCTAACTCCGAACTGAGGAGTCAGAAATGGGTTATGCTGCATCTCCTGCGCCGGTTGTGGATCGTCAAGAGGAGGAAAAAGTCGGCGAAAAGCGTCTCGTAACGCGCAATCCGTGCCTCAGCTTCTTCTAGTCTCGCAATCTTTCTACGATCCTCCTCAAACTCTTCGATCTTTTTCTTCAACGCCTCGACCTCCTTAGTTAGTGCGACGTGGCGACCGATCGATGCTGCATCTGGATGACCACCATCCAACTGAGTCGCCATTCCACCGACGCCGTAGATACGTCCTTTGGCATCCGGTTGGACAACCTGCCAAATAAAAAGTATATGTGAATTAAAATAATTTAATTAAACAATTACATCAATATAAATTTACCTCTAGATAGAGACTGTTGATTTCTGCTGGCGAAAGTTGGGTCGATCCACAACTCTCCTCTAACTGGGAGAGACGATCGGTGATCTTTGCCTGAATCGCATCCTCGATTTCCTAAACGCGATCGCTGATATAAGTACCGTCAACTCGACGGTGAGTCTCCTGCAGCAATCGCAACGCAGAAGGTTCTTCACCTTCCTTCTGCGTCTACAACCAAAAAATTTAATTAAAAAAAACTGAACAAATTTAAAATTAAATTTTTTTTACTTGCTATCTCATGGGCGACTCGGGCAAATGATCTCTGTCCTGCAGTGTGGGTCGGGGTTGCGTGTTCGATCTCCGCTCGGGATCGTCGATTGCTTGAGAAGATTTGACTCTTCTACGTTCCTTCTTCTGAATCCCAATGTGCGACGAGCTGATCGTAGATAGCCGTCGACATCCACGGAGGTTTTACGCGTCTGCACTTTACCCGATAAATGATGTCCTTGAGGGGATCTCGGACGACGAGCCTCCAAGCGGCGTAGACTTGGTCATGAATGACCTCGTCCCAATAATAAGCTTGCTGAAACAAAATAAATTTATAATTTTGTATAAATATAAATACATTTAATTGACAAAATTCTTACCGCAAAAGCCCCGAACCAATGTTGCAGATCATATGGAGGGACACGGATGAGACTCCGCCACGGGCCTTTGAAGTCCGACTGAAAGATGTTGACGACAGTCGTAATCACTTCATTGTTACGATTAAACCTGCAAAAATTAGATTCATAACATTAATTTAAAAGAAATAAAAATAAATATTTATTATATGCATTAAAACACCTACCAAATAGAACCGAGGGAGTGATCCGGATCGAGACGAGGTCGGAGACAATGTTCTGCAGACGCTAGAATCTCCGGCAACGATGGCGATGCACCGTGACTAGATGTACCTTCATTCACGGATTGCGGCGAAACCGCACCCGTGAAAGGTACATCTAGTCGAGGAGGCTCGACTACCACCTGATCCTGATGGACAGATGGTGATCTAGATGATCCGATCCCACGTCCTCGGGATCGGATTCCGCTACCGGCACGACCACTAGAATGGGATTGACTCAACTACAAGTTACACATAACAAAACATAATAATGAAAACCCGTAAACGAACCCAGAACCCGAACAATAAAACCATAAACCCTAGACCCTAAACCCCAAACCCCAAACCCCAAATTAAACCTAAACCCTAAAATAAATCCTAAACCCTTAAAGTAAATCCTAAAATAACACAAACCCCAAAACCCCAAATTAACCCTAAACGTTCAACCCTTAAACCCTAATTAAACCTAAACTCTAAATTAAACCTAAACCCTAAAATAACCCAAACCCCTAAAATAACCCTAAAATAACCTTAAACCCTAAAATAACCCTAAACCCTAAATTAAACCCTAAAATAATCCTAAACCCTAAAATAACCATAAACCTTAAATTAAACCCTAAACACTAAATTGAACCCAAATCTGAAATCGACCAAACGACGGAAACTGAATCCGAAATCGACAAAAAAAAACCGAAAAATCTGAAATCCGAACCTCGGATTAGTTCGGTCGCGGTGTCGTGGCGGTGCGAGAGATCGGAGTAGTGGCAGTGCAGTGGCGATGCAGTGGACGCGTGAGAGATCGGAAACTGTATCTCGCGCGTTCGATTTTCGGATTATCAACCGTCCGATTTTCGAAAAACGAACCAAACTAGCGAAAATACGAAGAAAGGGATCAGAAACATACCTGGGAACGGAGTTCGGTCGCGGCGGACGAAGCTTGCGGTGGAGGAGGCGACGAAACAAAAATGTGTCTAAGTTTTCGGAGAGAGGGAAAGAAGACGACTCGCGATAATTTTAAGAGCATTGCGACAGATTAATTCTGTCGCAATATGTCGTTACGAAAAAAAAAGACGGGATTTTAAGAACATTGCGACAGATTCATTCTGTCGCAATCCGTCATTACGCCAAAAATGGGATACGCGTGGATTTGGCGACAGAATTCACGCACAATGCGACCGATCATATCTGTCGCAATGTTTAAAATATCGAAAATGCTGCATGGTTTGCGGTCGTGACACGTGGCAAGTGACGAATGGACGTCTAGTTACGACTGACCACCGACAGATTATTTCGGTCGCCAGTTACGACAACTTTGCGACCGACAACTTCTGTTGCAATTTATTTCAATAAATTAAAAAAAATTAGAAAAATTAGCACAGATAATATATCCTCATTACAAATAAAGTGAGATTGAATTAGAAATCGTTATTTTAGGTACAAATATAGTTCTTATTAATCAAATGAACCATATTCAGAACTTCATGTTGTTTTTTCATCCGAGTCATCGGTATTGTCCTTCTCTTCATCATTATTGTCTTCAAGTATTCCTTCTTCGGCTATTAACCTTCCAATCTCAATCATTTCTTCAAATTCAATAACGTCGTGATCAACATCTTGAAGCGGTACTTGTTCAGCATTTTCTGCCTGAATAATAGTTCCCATGGGGTTGATTTTCACGACAGCTCGCCAATCAATGTCTGACCTTCTTGTAATTTTCTTCGGATGAGGGATGTAACACACTTGATCTGCTTGAGAAGCCAATATAAAAGGATCATATTTTCCATATCGACGTGTGTAACATATGTCAAAAACACCTGTTTTGTTGACTCTTGATAACGCAAATCTAGGTGTATAAATAAGCTCAAGTAATAAAAAAACCTAGATACAGCGAATACCGCAAGGATACGGATCAACTGTAGTACCAGGGTCGAACACAGGGAATAGTTAACACTAAGAACAAGACTCGACTAAGAATCAGATCAGGAAATAACAGTTGGAATAGATGAATACCGAAAATAAAGCAATAAATAAACTAAGTAAAATCAGATAATTAAACCACCGTAGCTTCGGGATAACCTTAATAAGCAGGGATTGTTTCTAAGGATGGAGAATCTACGAATATCGAACTCTAATCGGGGATCTCAAGTTCTAATATCAGATTTGGCTCTCTCAAGTCC